ATTGTAGCACAAACACATACACAAATCAAAATAATCGATAGCAACACAGGATTCATATCATATATTTGAGTTCCAATTCAAATTTGTAGCAATGGTAGCACAAAAAATAAAACACAGCAGCTCAAAAAAAATGTCCTTTAATATACATCAGATTCTAACAGAAGGTTTTCAATAACTTCTTTTTTTTGTAAAATGTTTTAATCCATTGATATATATCTTCTGTCCTTTAACTCAAAAGTCAAAAGATTGATTACATTGTATGTGCTGGAGAACAAAAGGAAGTGAAATCACATAAAAAATCGACAATAGTAAAAACAAGCCATAAAATTTTGAGTTCCAATTCTATCATACAGCAGAAAACAAAGGGAAAAGAAGGAATATCGACAACAAGGGTAAAGGAATGAATGCATAAACACAAACCTCTGTGGGGTCGAAGGTCGCTGGTGCTGCTGTTGGTTGTGACGATCTCCGGCTGGTAAGGAGGAGATGGCTAACGGCGGTGCTTCACAGGGGACAGCTTGAGGAAGCAAATCGAGAGCAACATATGTTTGGAGGCATACGATTATTTAAGTTCGATGTAAGGTTTAAGGTTAAGGGTATATTTGTTAATTTTTTGTATGGTGAAATAATATGGAGTTTGATAAGTAAAGGGTAAGTTACTTATCAAAAAATGATTTATTAGAGGTTTTCAAAAGTTATTAGTTGTTTATAAAAAATATTTTACCCAAACATTGTTTTTGATTTATACTGGTGTAGAATCAGTAATAAGTTAAAAAGCCACTTTTATAAGCTTTGCCAAACACCCTCTAAGGAATTATGTTATGAGCTTCTCTAGCTATTTTAAAAACGAAAAAAAGTCTAGGTTATCTCAAGCTTTTTGGATTACTATATCCAAATTAGATATTTAAGACAAGTATTGCACTTTGGATTCTAGTGATGTATTTACTAAGTGTTCAAGTGATGAAACGTTAAGCCAACCTTCTTTCCCTCACTAATTTTATATTAAACCTTAATTTTGTTGAATTGTGTTTTTAAATCTAAGTTTGACTCTAGTTTTCTTTTAAATATCTCAAAAGACCAAAATCCCAAAATTTTATTTTATTTTAGTTTCATAAGTATTAGTATGACAAGATTTCCATAGAGTTATTTTTTTTTTAATTGAACAAATTCTCGTGGATTCGATCCCCTTACCACTGTACACCATTTTAGTGTTTAATATTGAGGGTATTTATTTTTGTTGGTCTCGACAACCACCACCATCTCTCTATTAGTTGTTTGATGAACTGTAAGATCATGAGTCCAATGTTGCTTAGCTCTTAAGAGAACTCTTTGGCAGTCCTCTTGCTCTCATTGGTTCTGTCAACCCACTTCTTTCGAACCCTATTGTTTCGGATCCATTCAAAGTTGTTTCACCTAATCATCTCGTTCCACCTACTCAACCTGCCTCACATGTTCAACCTGTTCCGCTAATTCTGAACTTCCCGTTTGAAGAAAACTTTGATCCATACATTGTTGATGTCGAACTTCATTTCCAACAAGAATTTTCTTTGTTATCTATGAAGTAAAGATCATCAATGCTCTACATTAGTTTAACCAATTGCCAACTACAATGGTTTATTTATGTACCGTTTTAGACCATATCATGGATAGATATAACATCAACACCAACATATCATCATTAGTTCATTACTGTCCTAACCTTAAAATCAATAACTATGAATGAGTTCATCATGTATTCAAGAAAAAATAATAAAGGAAAAAAAAAAGAAAGTAAAATCATAAAATGTAAATACAATAAATCAAACTCGATTTCACGAAATATGATTTCAGAGTACCTCTCATGCTTTGAATATGACTAATTATTGAGTTCATCATGTAATTTGTATTAACCGATATAAAGTTTTTGTTTTTGTTTCACCACAACAATCACGTTTGGTTAAAAGTAACATAAACTTCATTTCTATTTTGTTACGTTCACATAAATTGAACTTTACAGAATATGCAACAGCAATGTGTAAATTATAAAATAATAATAATAATAATAATTGATTGAAAGGAGATAACAATGACTTTAATTACTTTGTGGTTCTTGGTATCTTAATGCCAATTTTAGAGAGGTTGATCTTAACAATGATTGAAATAAAAACGAAATTCAATGAAATCTCATATGAGATATTATTTATGAAATTTTATATAAAAACAACCTTTTCTATGTGAGGATTATGGAGGAAATCTCATATAATTGAAACAGATTATAAATTACATGATTGAAATAATGATGAAATTTAATGTTTGATGAGATACTAAAAATAAATCAATATAAGAGTAAACATTCTATAATATTCTATACTTATAGTTAATCAAATTCAATGAATTAACTGCCAAATTAAAATGCATTCTAAAAAGTGGTATCTTTTAGTCGATCAAAGCTTAAATATAGGAATATTTTCCTAGAGAAATTAAATATTCTTCTACTTTTTGTTTCTACAAATCCTTCTACCCAAATAAATAGTGATATATGTAACACTAGTTTATAACCCGTGAAATCACGGCTACAAAATTAATTAAACTTTAATAGTTAGAACACAAATTATTAATCAATTATAATCGTTAATTTAAATAAATATGTGGAATTATATCACCTTATAATTTGTATTAATTTTATTTTAATTTTTATTAAATTGTTATTAATTTATTGTAATTAAAGTGAAAATTTTAAAATTTGAAATAGAGAATTAATAGGTTGACAAGTGGCATGCATTAATTAATAAGTTTAATAGGGTGACACATGACAATATATATATATATATATATATATATATATATATATATATATATATATATATTAATTAGGAGGTCTAATATGATGACACATGTCAAAAGAAAATTAAAACTATTCTTTTATTAGAATGAGGATTTAATGCTCATTTAATGATATTTTAGTAACTAATATGATACATATCATCATTTACATGGGTAAGAAGAGTTGTAGGAACAAAAAATATATGGATATTTAATTTCTCATTTTTTTATTATATAACAATATTAAACATGTGGCATTTGTGTAAATAACTGAAAAACACAAATTAATGACAAGTGATAAATAAATAAATGAAAAAAAAAACAGAAAAATCAATGTATCAAAATGAATGAGAAAAAGACATATGACAAAAAGATTCTTATTTATTAAAGGGTAAATTACACCATTCATCCATCGTACATGTGTCCAAAAGCATGTTTAGTCTCTATTTTAAAAAATTAACTCGGACCATCCCTTATATCATAGAAAGGTACATGCTTAATCCCTCGTTAGTTTTAATTTGCATGTTTCATCCCTTGTTAGACTTGAAATGACCAAAATGCCCTTTGCAATTTCTTTTTCATTTATTTTTAATAGTTTTGATTATTTTTAGTTATTTAAAAATATTTAAATTAAAGTTATGGGTCCACCTAACACTTTTACATGTTATTTCTCTTTTTTTGAAGAACACTAAACCACCACCCTCATCGGAAATCTGCAGCACCATCGAAAACTTGCACAACCACCACCAGAAACATAGACAACCACCACCAGAAATCTGCTCTCAGCTCACCCCACCCCCTTCGAACACCACCTATCACCGCTCAATCATCACTACCAGAAAACCCCAAAAATATATAAAAAAAAAACCAATTATTATGGAAACAATCCATAATTAGGGCAAAATCAAAATGGGGAAGACATTGTTCAACTCCAACCAGACGTCGTCGTCCCCTCCACCTCCGACGAGACTTCGCTAGACCACTATGTCTCTTTCTTCATCTCTACACTAGACGCCTCCTGCACCACCACCTAGAAGAGTTCGAAGAGACGATCTCTAGCGTTCATATTAGGGGAGTGCAGATCCACGAAGTGCAAATCCATGGATTACAACGTCAGTGGCTTGCGGGGGAAGACGGTGGTGGATTGGAGGCAACACATGGAGGATTTTATTTCAGTTCCGGAAAACCGATCTCCTTGATCTCCTCTTTCTCTTCTTCTTCCTCTCATCGTTTTTGTTTCCATCACTTTCTTTCCCCCTCTGATTGGTAGGTTTAAAGGAGAAAGATGGATAATTTTTCTACTGGAAACCACCCTAAACACCACCATCTCTGTTGGATATGGAACTCCCATCTGAAACACAGATTTGAACCGCCACCAGTTTCTTTCTCTCTCTACTGTTGCTTTTGTTCTACATCATCCATTGAGGGTGGATGGTTTCATGATCTCGTCGGAGTATTTCAGGGGCGCCGATCATTAGAGAGGAAGATGAATAGGTGAGAGAGAAGGATAGAATCTGGGGAAGGGAAAGGAGGGGTAGGTGGGTTTGGACATAATATTTTTTTTATTTTTTATTTTTTGTATTAATTTAAACTGATAAATAAATTAAAATAAATTAAAAACAAATTATTAAGGGCAAAATAGTCATTTTATGCTAATAGGGACTAGGCATGCAAGAACAAACAAAACTAGGGACGGTCCGAGTTAATTTTTAAAAATAGGGACTAAACGTGCTTTTGAGCACATGCATGAGGGATGAATGGTGTAATGTACTCTTTATTAAAATAAGAACATACGACAAAGTTTTAGACTACATATCATTTATTAAAATAAGAACATACGACAAAGTTTTAGACTACATATCATTAATAAGTCGATCCAAAAAATAGTTTGTATGACAAAATGGTTTATTAAAGTAAAAACATGCGACAAAATGGTTTGTAATTGACATGAATTATTGTTAATATTTTTATTAAATTTTATGGTTTATATGTTTGTTAATATCGTCCCAAAGTTGGATGCTACTTAGTCACAGTTCCATGTGAATAACAATCTCTTTTTCCACTCAAACAGCGATTTGGTCCTAAAATCCTTAAATGATATACAGGAATTTGTTTCGATTTTTGTCACACAAGAAACACATTATATCAACAAAATGGTTAAATGGAAATGTCCACAAATAACAAAATAAAACCTAATACTTCTCCATAACACCCAATTAGTGACATCCAAGAAAGTCTGTCGCAAATATACTCCACATAATCCACCTATTCAGGGTTTTACATACAACATACCCAAACATACAATCATCTAAAACGAACAACACAAGCATTCTTTGTTTTTACAGTGAACATCAATCATGTCCTCATACAAATAATTCTTGCTTGCTTCCTATCAAGCTAAGTAGAGTAGATCAGTAAACACTATTCATATTCATTCATCATCAGTGTTCAGATCTGGCTTCATGAAGTATCTGTAGTACACATACTGCATTATGATCTGTTGTAACAACCAACTTTGTCAAGGTAATCAAACACAACAATTAAATAACTAAAAAATATCAAAACATAAAATTAAAGGATACAAAAGCATCAAGTGCCACACAGACTGCAGCATCTAGCAACCAAGGCATATTTGCTTTAATTTTCTCCCACTCTCTACTTCTTGCAAGAATGCTGCATTCAAATCATAAATTACACATCAACAAAACTTCTGAGATTTTATGTATAACGTATGTGTGCATAACATAAGGGATCTAGACAGAAATCAACACCTTCCAACATAAGTTGCATTGGCAATGAGAGCAAAGATGAACATGAGAGGATTCAAACCCTGTATTGATTGTATCAATTACACATATTTTTTTCAAGATATTGCATGATGCTATCTTTTTTAAAATTAAAATATCATGACAGATTTACCTCAACACTGCGTCTTTTGATCTGGGGACAATTAATTACACCAATTGTGTTAGAAGTTTGATCATATATTGCAATGAAAATATGATTTGGATGAAGAAGCATGAGGAGTTACATTTAAGGCGATTTGAGGGATCCTTCCACCCATGTATATAGCAGCCATCATCCATCCTAGCCATTGCCCATACACAGCCTCACTTCCACCACCATCCTGTCAGTGTGAAACCCTAATTTCATCACCACCAAAATTCCTATATATATATAGAATCATAAGTAAAATAAGCAGTGTTCATACTTGTAGAAGCTTCCTGTGAGCATATACTTGCATCAAACCCTTTGTGCGTGAAGGAAAGTTGAGTGAAGTAGCCAAAAATGCTCCATAACCAACCTGACATAAAGCCCTGATCAGCTCATATATCATGGATCGATATAGGCTTTTTAGCAACAAGTAATCAATCAACAGATACTAGAAATCAACAATAATCAAGCTTTAAGAAAGAGTTACAGAGCGGGGTATCGGCCTAGGTTGAGAAGTAGTCTTTGCAGGTATTTCAAGAGATGACTCATCTTCTGAAGAATGATGATCATCATCTTCATCAGCAGCAGCCATAGCCATAGCTGAGGCTGGACCACTTCTTGTTGTCCACAAATAACCTCTGTTTGGTGGAGTTGAACTTCCAGCCAATGATCTTGCTGACCTGGAAACAGATTTCGCAGTAGTTTCGTCAGATTAGCACTGGAGGATTTTGGTCATAAAGGAGTAATAAAATGTTAGCAGAAAGACAGACATGTAATAGTAGTCACGTCGTTGAGATGGGGATGCTCTGATGGCATGACTTTGAGAATTTGTAATTAAAGGTATCTTGGCTTCTTCCACCTGAAAATCATCATCGATATTGAAAATTTAACCTAATTGCAGAATCAGTATCTAGTAGTGAAGGTTTACCTCTGGATTAGCAGCAATGGAATCAGCTTTCCGGGACTTTAACAATGTATAGATGTGATCATAGTACAAGCTTTGCAACACTAAGATCACTGTGCTTGTTGTGTAAAGCTGTGCTCCGGTTTTAGACAATTAGGTCAAATTAAACGTGATATGCTAATTCGACATTGTGAAATATGTTTACAAGAACTAAACTAGAAGCATTAAAGAAGAAGGGGAAAAAAAATCAAAGAGTGCCATATTACGTACAATTGCAGTGTAGTACTGTGTAGGTAACTGCATCACCACAAGGAAGATACGAGAAATTAAGATGAGACGAAATGAAAAGAGATGTCTGCAATCTGAATCTATACATGGATGAAGAGACTCACTGTTGCAGGTTCGAGAAGACAACCCACAAGATTAAAGATATCCCTGCGCCATTAAAATGAAAAACGAGTTAAATGGCTTAATCGAATGTTGGAAATGAAAAATGGGGAAGTACGAAATCTACTCTCACAGACATAACCACAAACACTTACCCGGCGATCCACGTTAGGAGGAAAATGAGCGAGACGCCATGGCTGGATTTAGTACGGAAGTTGGTGATGATCTGAGGGATTTCCGCCACCCCCCAACAGACAAGGCTTATGATTCCGAATCCGAATGAAATTTCGTCATTGACATTGCATAGACAATCTTTGAAATACTTGTCAACCCACCACCCAATACATTGTTTATTCTCTTTAACACAGTATGATAATGAATTAGTACTCCTAGTCCTACTGTTACCATTCCACAACAAAAACTTCATGTCTGTATCGGTGTTGTTGGGTTGTGAGGTGCTGTAATTAAAGCGGCATTCAGATCCAGATGGAAACCTGATCAAATATTTGGCTGAATGCTAGCGGTTGATGCAGCGGTGGTGTCTAGGCATATGGCTTCTTTGGACTTTGTAGTAGTAGCAGGGATGATGCCATGATGACACCTGGATTTACGATCCAGCCCCTTGATTTATTTTAAGAGTAAAATACAAAAGAAAATAATAATAATATTGATATTTATTTAACTATTTGATTATAACGTATAGCCTGTTATAACTTCTTTCAGCATTTAAAAAATTATCATTTGTAATTATTTTGTTTTGATAACAAAATAATAATAATAATAATAATAATAATAATAATAATAATAATAATAATAATATATATATATATATATATATATATTTAACCATTTAAAATATTATTATTTACTTATAATTAAAATTCATAATTTAAATTTTATATGATTTATATTATATTTTATGGTTATTATTATTAATAATAATTATGGCTATTGTTATTATTATTATTATTATTATTATTATTATTATTATTATTATTAAATTTTAATATTACTAGCTAAAATTTTGCATTTATAAATATGGACAAATTACCTATATTTATATACTATTAAGGATAGAGAAGTTGGTTAGATTTACTTTTAAAGTTCTTAATATCCTTACTTTTAAATGTGGACTCTTTTCAATCTTTCTGTTATTATTTATACATATAATTTCAAAGTATGAAGTGATCTTTATATTTTATACTCATCAGTGTAGTTTTTATTAATTTTCAACATATAACTATAGAAATATAGAACACTTTTAAAGATTTATTTGTGTGAAAAAATAATACATTATATTTACGCATTTGTTTGGTACGAAGGTTTTATACTTTTATATGCATGGTATAGCGTACAGTAATTTTTGAAAGGAGTGTAACCTGTGAACAATCACTATTGTGTCGTTTGCATGACAATCTATGTGATAAACTCTTGAGAAATGTATTAAATAGTATATTAAATTTGTTAAGATTTTTTCTTATGATAATATCAAAAATAAATCTAAAACAATCATAACAAATAACTCAATAAAATCATGCCAAATTTTGTATGATCCTGAACATTATAACAGTAATAATAAAAATAATAATCTTAACTACGGAGCATCATGATTATACTAATAGTAATTATAATAACAATATTAACAATAATAATAAGTAATATATCATAGTAATCAGGATGATAATGAAAATCATAACACTAATTTTAATATAATAAGAATAACTAAAATTAAGAGTTAAAGGGTCAAATATAATAAATTGTGGACTTGTATGTTTTTTATATAAATTGCTTTTATGTTAACCAAAGTAATAGTAAAAAGTTTTTAGGTTTTTTTTAATGAATTAGTCTTTATTAAAAATAGTCAAATGGTTAAACATGATAGAAAAACACAAGAATGTATTAAAAAAAACCCAGATATTTATACATTTTTAAATTTTAAACATAACCATAAACCTATGATCATCTTGACCTATCGACTCTGGTCTTCTATGTTAAAATAATAAAATATGATATAAGACTAAAGTAATAAAATATGATCAACAAAACAATTTTAATGAAAAAAAAAACGTGAATGAGACAAAATCACAAAATGACACCATGATGGAGTATGTATGTGACCATTGCATCCATGTAGGTGGCCATTATGACGCCCAGGTTCAAAAAAGTGAAACTATTTTCTTGAATTTTAAATAAATTTAATGTTTTATTTAGTTTGGTATAAATACTTATAAAACAAAATTTCAATGAGAGTTAAATATGAGTTCAATAAAATTTAATTGAATATAATATAAAAGAGAAGGTGAAATTGAATGGGGATTGACCTCATCATAAACAATTTAAGTGTAAAACGGTGAGTTTTTCATTCATATATATATATATATATATATATATATATATATATATATATATATATATATATATATATATATATATATATATATGGTTAAGTTCATGTGAGACGGTCTAATTTTATGAGCCGTGAGATGCATTTTTTAATTCTTTTTATTTGTTTTTATTTTTTATTTTTTTATTTTTAGTTAATTCAAGTTCCGAAAATAATATTTAAAAAAAGAATTTTTGGATTTTTCTATTTATTTTACATTTTAAAATTATTTTTTAGAATATGTACAGTGTAATATTCTATTAGAATATTTCACGTATTTTTCGAAAAAAAACGAGTTTTATTTTTTATTTTTTTTAGTTAATTCAAGTTTCGAAAATAATATTTAAAAAAAGAATTTTTAGATTTTTCCATTTATTTTGCATTTTAAAATTATTTTTTAGAATATGTCAGTGTAATATTCTATTAGAATATTTCACGTATTTAAAAAAAAATGATTTTTTTTATTTTTAGTTAATTCAAGTTCCGAAAATAATATTTAAAAAAAGAATTTTTGGATTTGTCTATTTATTTTGCATTTTAAAATTATTTTTAGATTTGGTCTCACGGTCTTACAAAATTAGAATGGTCTCAAATAAAACTGAACCTTTATATATATATATATATATATATATATATTATATATATATATATATATATATATATACTAGGTGTGAACCCTATGTATTACATGGGTGCATTTAAAACAATTAAATATGTATAAACATTTGAGAAATTTAAATTTATAAGAAAAATAAAAAAAATATTGAATTACTAAAATTAAAGTTTTTTTTTTCTCTTTTAAATTTAAAAAATCATTTAGATAAAATAATCAAAGCAATTTAATGAGATTTTATTTTAAAATTTTGAAATTATAAGGAAAGTCCATTAATGAAATTAATATAAATTTATTATTAAATTTAAATACCATATTGAATTAAATAAAATAGGAAAACCACAAAATTACATATAGAATAAAAATTAATTCAAAATAATCAAAAAATAACATGTGGCTATATATATATATATATATATATATATATATATATATATATATATATATATATATATATATATATATATATATATATATATATATATATATATATTCTCACTTAGTTGACACTTTGTTCAATCTTTTTCATTCAACTTTTATATTGTGGATTCAACTATTTTCATTGAACTTCGGGGATGGTCTTATATGAACGAATAATTATTTATTAGAATCATTTGTAAATGTTTTCAGATATGAAGGAAATATTCTTTTGTATTTTGAAAGTTTTAAAAACCAAACATATATGTTGTCAATAGTTGAAATTTAACTTGTTATGTTTATATGTTATATTCACTCATATGTATACGAACAGTCCAAAAAAAATAGAAAAATAACAAATCAAATCATATCTTTCACTGTAAATCATGTCGATTTTATAAGTAAAAAAGTTGGACAAAATATACACAATGAAGTACTCGACTAAAAAATTAAAAAAAAATAAAATACAAAAAAAATAAAACTTTTTGTCAAGAACAGTCCAAAAAAAAATAGAAAAATAACAAATCAAATCATATCTTTCACTGTAAATCATGTCGATTTTATAAGTAAAATAGTTGGACAAAATATACACAATGAAGTACTCGACTAAAAAATAAAAAAATAAAATACAAAAAAATAAAACTTTTTGTCAAGTAAAACTTAGGTGTTGTTTGTTTTTTTGAAGTCAAAATGTCTGCAGTCTACGGACCACATCTGCAAGCCTCTGCGGCAGAAGAGGTGGACCAAATGTCTGCAGTCTGCAATAAGAAGACTGTTTGTTTTTAACGTCTGCGGGCCGTTAAAATAAATTGAATTTTTAAACTTAATTTCATGTTATAAACATTAAAAATGTATTTTTAACAAAAAAATGAAAGAAAAAAAAAAACTGCACGGTGGCCATGTTTTTTTTTTTTTTAAGGTTAAAATGAGGTCTCAAGACCTTTGAAGACAGTGGCCCATGTCTGCGCCAGGAAGACCTCGCACAGACGTTTTCTGATCTGCGCACTTCCAAAAAACAAACAATCTGCGAGGGCATATATCTGCGCAGACAAAAGTGGTTACGCAGATCTTCACACAAAAAATAAAGAGCCCCTTAGATATCATGTTTATCAAAGAGAAAAAGGTGGAAAGAAACTTGGGATAGGAATAATGGCATGAAAGCCATCCATGTTCATGCACTCCTTTTTTACTTTTTTTTTTTTTTTTTTTTTTTTCTATGTCACCGTATTTTTAAAGGTCTAGAAAATAACTAGCAAATAAACAAAATCACAAGAAAACTTTCATAATCGATTTTTACAACCACAAAGTCCAAACAATATTAACTTTTTTATTCCTATATATTCTGAAACAAATCAAAATAGAGTCCACGATTTTTTCAAAGATGACACTTTTCGGGAATCTAGAAGTAACAACACCACAACACCCATATAATCTTCATGACTATAACTTCCAAAGCTTTCCTTTTCATGAGAGACAAAGAGACATTATCGGCCGTATTAAACAAATCATCCATACTCTAAATTAATGGAAACGAAAGATTAATCCATTCAGACACCCTAAGCGACGCCGATTCACAATCTCACACAAAAACAAGTTACTCGTGTCAAACATTTCATACAAAAGCCAACTATTTGATGCTAATGATACTAATGAGGATAAATTAATAACGATAATGATCAGGATAAACTGATAATGATGGATGTAGGATGGACACAATTTAATATGAGAAAATTACAAAATTAGCTAAAAACACTAATTACCTATATATTTTTAGCCAAAAATTAGGAGTTATCCACTTTTAGCCATTAAAACCGTAAGTTTGTTAATCCGACTACTCTTTCAGGTTGAAACCTACTCTTTCGGTTTTAGTATAAAAAGTTCATTTTTGAAATCAAAACCGTAGATTTTAAGATACCTACTGTTTGCTCTCAACAACATACGGTTTCCCAAAGAGTATTTTACTCGAAGCCTACTCTTTCGGCAAGAAACCTATAGTGTGCAAGTTGTCGATGCACAAATTGTGCATTAACTGCTTGTACACCGTAGGTTCTTATGAAACCTACCGTTTTTTTTCTTTTTCTTTTTTTCTTTTTTTGAAAAAAAAATCATCATATGTCCATCATAATACAATTATATACTTGGTAGAAGTAAAAAAAAAAAAATGAAAACCGGAATAAAA